TTTCCCAGACTATGAATCAAATTTCATGCTAAACAGATCTGTATGAGTAAAACCACAACCAGGCCTTTAAATCATACAGTATTTTAGTCTCAAAAAGCTCACAAGAAAGGACAGAGTGAAAAAGTGAAAGTAATATGGGAAACCAAGCCTGTTTCCTGGTAAAACGGCAGAGTAAGAAGATTGGGAAGAATTTTAAAAGGCTGCAACCAAACAAGATGGAAGACAGAGACTGGATCCTGCCAGTAAATTATAGAAATGCATTGTTAAGTAACGACGGACACGGCTGGGGGCTGGTCAAGACGCTGCACACAAACAAAATGCCCTTTTCGTGTAAATTACTTAAATATACTTTTACATAAACCTGTCAAGCCGATTTTTGGAGGTAAAACAACTAAAAGGGTGGGGATGAATTTAAAACAGGCTACAAACATACTACAAGCACAACAAAGTCTGGTACCTGTCTGTACATTTAAAATATTTAGCAAAATATAACGGGAGTTCATTTTGCCTAACAGAAAGTTAGTTTATGATACTGTAACTACATTAGTTAATAAATGCGACACAACCCAGCTGTTGTTACCGCTGTTTCCTGGCTTCGTAGAGTCTTCCATCCTAGCCAGTTACGCATCTAATTTAGTTTTTTTATGGTTAGAGCTCACCTTTCGTGTTCAGATCCCTCACTGTTCGTGACTACCTCTCAAATACTCTTCCTGCTCTCAGTAATACATGCAGTTTTCTACACACACATCAGTGGTTATACCAACTTCAGCGTTCTCTATCTCTATTGGACAACCGCGTTGTCAATCAAAAAGCGGACCAATTGGATTGCTCTTAAACTGTAAAGACGTGGGCGAGCTTGATTGAACTTGACCCTGACCGTAACCTTTCCTTTGCTGTGATGTCTGCAGAATTAGATTGGATTTCGACTTTTGCTGGTTTACATCTGTCTCTAATCCCTGTTCCTAATCTGTTCGACTCTCATGGACAGAGAGAAGGAATAAGCGAGTGAGGGAGAGTCTAAATTCTATGTATTGTTCTTGCATTGCCATAATGCTTTTATTTAAAAGTTGTTTTGATGTTCTTAATGTGGAAACGCCTTATCCTGAAACCCCTTGATGGAGGTCTTTCTCTTATTTTTATACTTCAGTATTATTAGTGATAACTGAAGTCTTTACAATGTAAAGAAGACCAGACACATTTTATTGAGCCCATTCAGGGAAATTAAAGACAACAACAGAGTAAACAAAAGGTTAGGAAATGTAAAAAAAAGGTGTAATCTTAGCCTATAATCATTTTAAACCAGAAGGTGGCACCACTTACTCACTGTGCAGAAACAAGATTTTCTATCACTAAATAAAATAGCTTAATAAAAATGTTTTGTTAGCAGGCTGTAAGTTTCCCACATGAACACAGTGTTGTGTCATTACACTCAGTTCTGTTAAACAGGGATTAAATGTGCATGCTGCCTGAATGTAAAGGTTTTTTATGATGATATGTTTTTTATTTTGTAAATCTTTCTATAAATATTTAATATGTTGTTGCATTATACATGTTAAATGTATTCCCTGAAGGTAATCCGCATCTCTCATAGATTCATGAGGAAAAGATGTGCAGTATAATAGGCTTTACTATCTTTCAGATATTGTTCTGTGAACATGCCCTGTTTGTCTTTGGGTGTTTTTTTTTTCTTGTCAGAAATCTGCTAATTTTTACAGAAACGGTACTGCCAGCTCTGGATGTTGGGTCTCAAGACGTGTATATACCGGGCACTATGTAGAATGAGGCTACCTTGGCTTCTTGTGTTTTGATTTTGACAATTCTTTAATTTAAGATGCAAAGATAAATTGCTGAGGTACAACTTTAAGTTTTCATTTCACGCAACTTCCTAGAGATTCTCATGCTCTTTGCTCTTTGGTGCTTATTTCTGTGGTAATTCTGCACAAATCATGTGTCAATCAAACCATATGGGTGGTCTCCCTAGGTGGCGCTCTTTCCTTTGCCTGTTCAGTCATTGGGATATTACAACATCTATCAACGTCTATTTTTGAAGAACTGGACTGTAAATGTAAAACAGGTCAGTGTGAGACGATTTGTCCCAGGAGAGTCAGAAGACTGTGAGTGTTACAAACAACAAGTGTGAACTGCATATTGGTTGAATCACAGCTGTGTTGTCTTTGTGAGAAAATGTTATAATTACTGCTGCTGACAAATGTTATGAACTCCCCACTGACTTTACAGTCTAGACATCAGAGTGGATCATTGCAAAAGTTATTCTTTTTTTAACATTCTGGCTTTTAATGGCTAAAAACATCTAAAAATGTGACTGAATTGCCTGGCAGATTTATTCTGACACAGTAATCCACATCTCAAGTTGGAAAAAAAACCCCTGAAATGGCCAGATTTCACCTAATAAAAGGACAGATGGAGCAGGCTTATCATATGCAGCAAAACAAACAACAGAAAAAAAACCTAAGAGTTAAAATATATATACACATTTGAATCTGAGACAATAAACACTAAGACATCTTTATGCATGGTCCAACCCCCATGACCCGTGTAGCTCTGAACAAATGCTAAAAACTATTTGCAAGTCCTAATTGACTCAAACCTTTTATATCTTGCAGGTCAAACCCTCCTTAGCAGAAAGGAGGATACATAGAGTCACCAAATAAAGCCACAGCCTGAGGCAGCGTCAACAATCCATCCATCACTGTTGAGTGAAGAGAAAAACCACCACGTGCATCTCAACAAAAGAGCAGGAAGGTCTTTCATAGCTTTAAAACTCCAGAGCCCAGTCTCTTGGCCATCAGTTAGGGGCCCTGAGAGACAAGAGTTTCATTTCCTGACTATATATGTACTAAAGGAAGTTACAGTCAGAGTTTTTAGCCTGTATTAAAGTATGTCTACTTGCCTGGAAGGCTTTGATTCCACCGTGTTGTAGCTTGTGCTGTCTTTGGTGCCTTTGGTTACATATGTTTTTTCTGCTTCCTGCTTGCTGAGTTTGTTAATATATCTGTTAAAAGCTCCTGGGTTGCCTTCGGTCTGCATTCGGGTCCAAATAAGTTATGAAAACTGTGACAATTTTTGTTGGACCAGAACTCGGTCTTTTCTGATGAAGCTTTAAGTAAATCATGCAGCTAAAAAGGTAAAGGTGTTGAGGAGCTTTACTCTCCACCAACATGTTGCAACCTTTCTGTATAAGCTATAAACCATGGTTTGGCACTGTTCATTAAAATGTTTTTTCAAGGATTAGGTCAAAAGCTGGTGAAGCTGCTTTTACCCTCTGAGTTTCTGGAATGGCCCGCCAGATGGCACAAGATGTGCGCTGACACTGACCTCGTTTTAGTAACCTCTCTATTCTAAAGCCGTTGAATATAGGTTTAATCCTGTTTATATGAACATTTATGTGCATTTGTCTGCAGGGGGTGATCAGGGTTCCATTGGAGCCCTCAGTCTTTATGAACTGTATTTTTATGGTTCATTTGAACTGCAATTGTGTTTTTAAGACTAATTGCTATGTGTAAATGTTACAGGTAGATACTGGAAGCAGAACGTAGTCAGGATTTTAGAAATATTAAGGTCATCACGTGTGCAAACCCACCCAGTACAACGACGGTCAATGTTGTTTAATCAGCCAAATGTTCGGTCATGTTTTCTGTACATTTCATCTCCAAACACGGCACAAAACGACCACACAAATGCCAAGCGTCTACGGGGAGATGATGAATGAGCATAAAGAGATGCAAAACAACCACAAGGATTTTTCTTGGCTCCTTTGGGCTTCACTTACAGTTTTAACATTACATTTCCTACACTGTAAATTAGTCCCTGAACAGTGATGAGCACACTATCGTCAGCAGGACATTGTCTCTATCTTTAATTAATGTAGTAATGGAGATTCAATTTTGCTGTTTGTTTATTAAATTGGCTCCTTGATTGGCTAAAAAATAATCTGTTATTCAGTGTAGTTTCCTCCTATGATTGAGAACTAAAAATATAGTGAATAAGAACCAGGTGACCCAAAGGCAGACACTTGGAGACAGGATTTATTGTCAATGAATAAATTATGTGCAGGAGCACAATCATACTGAAGAGCTTGAGAGGCCTTTTTTTCCTCGCTTCAACCTGTAACCTTTCTTTTCACTCAGGCAGTCTAAAATGTCAAATCTGCTGGGGCGTCGGAGCCACAGGCGGCCACTGCTTTACTGGTAAACACACAGATGACTAAAAGCAGGCTTCTTTTCACAACCAGTGAAAGGTTAGACTGTTAATGCAGGTCATGTGGGGCAGAGGCAGTGGTGGCGACACCTGACCAGTCACATTGGTCACTGTCTAAACTGACCTGGAAACATTACTCTAGACCAATGTTTGTTAAGTGGCTTTAAATTAATATTATTATTATTATTATTTTACTGTTTTACAATACAAGAGATCAAAATTAGTCCCTCCATTTAGCATTAATAACTGTTCATTAGGCGACTTAATGCAAAGTGTTCCCCAGTCTTAACCTCTCACATACACTGTGTATTGTGTATATGTGTATTGTCATTCATTATATGTTGCATAGTGTCCACTTGTTAAACTTGACAACCAACAAACATTTAAAATAAACCGAAATACCTGCATACATTGTGTTTTAAACCCGTCATTAGACAGTTTATACTAGGCTCCTTAAACACAATGCTAGAAAGTATTTTTTCACAAGAGCTGTACAATTTTGAGGTACTTGAACTACTGCTTGTCTATTTTCTACTACTTTATCCTTCTACTCACTACAGTTTAGAGACAGCGTGCACTTTGATTCCATGACACTTATTTGCAGATTCACATCAATAACATAAAATATAATCAACAAATAAATTATGATATGCAGTTATAGGTTTGAAAGTCACACACTAACTAGAGGTTTATAAGTGATTCATGAGAGCCCTACATTAAGCTGCTGTAACATTAAAGTGATAGAGACACTAATGGATCAAAATTTATAATAGTCACAAATAATAAATATACATTTCTTTGGAATAAGCAGTTGTTTAAATGTATTTTGATGTTAATAGTCTTAAAAGGTTGCTTAAGTAAAGTTTGGAATGAAATGACTAAAAGTGGATATTTACAGTGTGGTATCGCTTATTTTACTTAAATAAAAGACGAGTACCTTTTCCACCAATGCTTAAAGTATTACATGAAAAAAATGTTTAAAACTGGCATAGTCACATTTGTTTATGTAGTATTTAAGTCAAACTTTAAGTTTGAAAAATAAATCAATAAACACACTGAAACTAATACAACACAATGCATTTTTATTCACATTTGTTTTTGTAGTATTTAAGTCAAACTTAAAGTTTGAAAAATAAATCAATAAATACACAGAAACTAATACAACACAATGCATTTTTATTTTTACTTAATGAAGTAATAATTATTATACATTTCTCTGGAGCAGAAAAGTCTGAAACACTGACCAGATGTTACATTGACCCGACCTGAAATATACAGCTGGATTAGAATTTGATATGGAGAAGTGATCCCGGTTCATAGAGATGAATTAAACTGACAAATGTGATGGTCAGTTGTGTTCTAGGCTGAGTGATTTATGGCCTTTGGGGTGAAAAACAGAGCCGTGCGTATTTGAGCATGTTTTAATATCCTTGTTATACATCACACGTACACAAGTACACAATCACTACAAACCCGTGTGTCCTGATATTTATATTAGCTTCATGTCTGTACAGACCTTTTCTAATAAAGGTGTTCTACATGACAGTGCAGCAGTGCTGCAGGCAAGAACAAATATTCAAAGATATATAACATTAAAACATGATAGTGTACAAATTTATTTTACATCTAATCAATCAGCACTGCACTGTGGGTCGACAAACTAGAAGCCAGCTGAGAACAAGTTGAAATCTTCTTTTAAAAAAAGACACTTTCACATGGGATTCACTACAACATTTTCTCCTCTCTCTCCCACGGAACTGGATCCTGGTCCTCCTCGACCTGCGTGTTCCTGCGCCCTGTCCAAAAGTGCTCCACATCTGGGAAGGTCTTCTCCTTCTCCTTCTCCTGTGAGACCGCGTTGGGCACGGCGTTTGCTCCGATCTCCGCTCCGTTTCCCTCTGTTTTTGGACATGTGTTACTGGGGAGGTGCTTTGAGCCTCTGCAGGTGACGATTAGCCAGATGTTGATCAGTCCTTGGCGCACGTCATCGTACATGGTCATTAGGATCACCGGAGAGAGGGCGCTACATGCGTAAAGGAGGACTTGCGCAAAGATGCTCAGACCCACAGGAGGTTTGGTGTACCCAAGTCTGATCCAGGTGAATGCCCCCCACTCTGGCAGTAGCATAAGCCCATGTGCTCCGCTTAGACACAGTAACACTAGTGTAACCTTGCTCTGATGCTGCGGACTGGGTGCGTGGTTCACTGCGGTGTGCAGTGTTTTTGTGTAGTAGGCAAGGGTGAAAATGACCGGCACCAAAAAGGCTGCAGCGGGGTAAATCTTGTAAAACAAACTCATGAAGTCAGAGGCGCACACTGGCATTTCAGAAACGCAGATGGAGTCGCGGCCATACGGTAGTAAAGTTGCAAAAAGCATCTGCGGGATTGGAAACATCATGGACACAGTCCAGATAAATGCCAAGGATCCGTGTATCCACGTCAGGCTGTAGAAGGGGCCCGTAGCCGTACTGGGAATCAAAGTGTGTTTGGCTCTAGTAGAGACTGCAAGGATTAAAGCTTTTGCAACCAAACACGAGTGCTGGAACCAGTCCGTGGTGCTGCAGACAAAACTCCCAAGGGTCCAGGTCTGCTTGTAGTAGGTGACGGCGCGCACCGGGGCGCACAGTAAGAGTATCACCAAGTCTGTGGAGGCCAAAGAGGCGAGGAGCGCTTTCACCTCAGAGCCCTTTCCGTTTCTGAAGTCACGGATGAAAATCACCAAAACGAGCAAATTCCCAACTGCTCCGGAGACGCAGATCCCGATTAGGATGACAGGCATGGCTGTTCTGGTGTCATTCCCATGGAGAAGTTGAACTCCTCCAACGAAATCAAAAAAGGAGACATTTGCTGGTCGATTAATATCCATCTCTTCCCCTGTAACGTTAAAGTTCGAGGCCCTTAAATTGACAAAAAATTCAGTAAGCAAACAATATTTTTTGTCTTTCTTGTTTCTTTAGTTCCGCTTTTCCTTCGCAGATTTAACGTCGGATGCGGAGGAGCTGTCCAGGGCGCTGCTAATGGGGTCGTGGTCGCGTCAGCAAGTGGGTGAACAGGCTGGCAGGTAGACTATTTCGAGTGCTGCCATTTAGCATCGTCAACCACTCACGTCATTTGATCAGTGTTGCCCCAGACTGCAGCCAGCCCAAATGAGAGCGCAGCGTGATGCTATTTACACTGAGAACCTGAGATGGGATCATGGCTGGTGTGTGGTGTCAGAAGTATGTCAAAGTTACCAATGATATGACTCTTCTGGAAATCTTTTAGACTAAAAATGCACATTTAATAGTTGATGACAAGCAGCAGAACGGAATTAACGACAATAAATGGCATGTGAAGCCTTGTGGAATTTAAATAATAGTAAGCAGGTCACCTTTTGAAATACTTCAGCCTCATCTTAACATGTGCACACAACCAAAAGATTTAAAGTTTTCCTAAATGACTGAATCAATCCCTCAAGTTGGCATTAATTCACTGTTAATCACTCATTTTTGACCTTATCCCATAATTGCCACTTGTAGTCATGGTGGATGCTGTTACCATGGATGGATCATGAGACAACGGCCCCCAGGTACATACATGTAAAAAGCCCCAACCTCTCCCACACTTATGAGCAACACTCACAGATGGAGCAACCACATATTTATGATCAGTTTCTTTATAGTCTTTTGCTTCTCTTTTCATCCATTTGTGTTCATTTTTACTCGCTTTGTATCTCTTTTGGGTCATTTTGCACTTATCTTTACTTTTGTGTTTGTATCACTTTGTAGCTGTTTTTGTTTCCTTTTGGCATTCAATTTATTATCTCAGGGGAGTTTCTCTGTCTTTTTCTGGTCATTTTGTTTCTTTTTAGTGGTTTTGTAGCTGTTTTACCTTGTTGAACAGATCTCATGTGGTAACTTAAGGTCGAGGATTATTAACAGCAAGCAGTGACTGAGTGATAATGATACAATATAATGATTTTGACTAAGAAAGTCTATTTAATGTCATGGTTGATAAGGTCAAGATCAAGACCAAAATGGATCCTTTCTTAAGTTGGTCAGTCCCAAAAACAGAATAAACACAAGTCAGATGGCTTTTTTTTCACAAGGCCATGTTTGTTTTTATAACTGATATTATAACTTATAATTGATATTATTAGAAAATGTCAAACACCAAAACGTACAAAATTTATAGCAAAACTAAATGTTTTTCTATGAAGTTAGTATAAATTGATATATGACACACGTTTCTTTGACATTTATTTAAGTAATAGATGAAGTCATAAATACAAATGAGCAAACCACATCATGTCTTATTTTACTGGCAGTATTAACATTGTGATTCAGGTGATGCATGAGTGCATGATGCTGACTGCACCACTGGGAGAAGAGTGTTTACTTGACTTGAAGAGCATCCGGATGGTGGAGGGGAGGAAGGGTGAGAGTGGGGGAAGAGGTGTTGGGGGGTGGCGAGGGAGCCCACTCAAACATTTCACCTCCTCTAAGAGGGATGGTTGCTAGGAGACCGGAGCCACCATCACAGTATGGGGTTATGAAGATGTGACATGTCATAAAGTAGTGTGAGATATGTGCGGATAGAGAGGCTTTAAAGTGACTCTGGAGCTTCAGATCTAATGAATGAATAGTTACAACGGTGTTGCAGAGAGAAAAAAGACTCTTGTGGTATTTAAAGGGATGATATAGTAGCACAAGCAGGGGCACTGCCTTCACAGCATGCAGTAATCAGGGATATAGTGCAAGGCAAAGAATACAAACAGGTTTCAGCTCTCACTGATTTCATTTCTGGCAGTGTAACACAAATGTAACAATCAAATGAGCATTTGTTTACAGTGAAATGCATTTTAGATGCGCTACATATTTTCATGAGTCTAGGATTAACAACAACATAAATAATAATACTAGCCTAATTTGTACAGTACTTGTCATGCAGAGATGCAACAACACTAAACAAAATGATAAATTATGTCAAGCAAAAAACAACAACAATAATACAAAGTAGTATATTAGATAACAATATCACAAAACATCCAAAACAATATCAGTAAAACCTGTAGAAATGATATAAATAAATATTTAAGCCCTGGTAAGGTATGATTACCCCAAATCCAAAGCCAAATTAAAAACACGTGTTATACTTGTTAGGTAGCACGTACGGTAGGAACAGCGATGTTTTGAGCTAAATGCTAACATGCCATAATGTTAATCATTTTAGAGTAGCAGTATGCTAACATGTGCTGATTAGAACAAAACAGTACGCACCATAAACTGAGGAATTTCTTAAGTGCTGGATAAAGCGAAACTTGACCTGCTGATGCCACTAGTTGAAAAGTCAGGGCATCACCACTGTCAGTGGGGCTCATCCTCTGGGAACCTTGAACGGCTGCTCAAAACAGTCCAGTAGTGATAGACTTAGAGTTAGGCTGACTTTGCCATTAGAATGCCTAAAAATGAAATAAATGGACAGCTTAATATGGATAGGTTAAATTTGGCTTCATAAGTGTAAGGGCTTTGGGATTAATTCTCAGACATATAAAGACGGCCATTGTTGGAACCAATGGAGTAATGTGCTTTATTTTGCTGTGTAGGTCAGAATCCTGATAGCACCAGTTAGATATTGATACATGTTAGACAAGTAATAGGAGCATTCAAAGATACATGATTGTGTATCATCTGCATAACGGTGATATTTGACATTCTGACTTATAATGATGTCCAGAGGGAGCATGTAGTCAGAAAATAGAATGTGATACAACCCCATCTGCTTCTCAAGTCTAAAATACAATGAATGCAATCAGTAGTGACAAATACAGCAATTAAACCTAAAAGAAGGAAGACTGGCACATTACTGGAGTCAACGCAGATTTAAAGGACATTTATTACTTTGAATGAAGCTGTTTCAGTGCTGTGGTTAGTTGTGCTTTGTGCTAATTAGTAAATGTTAGCATACTAACATGAAAAAACATTCTGCTTCTGTTGGCATCCTAGCTTTTGCACTTGGTTCAAAGCACTGCTGTGCAAGTGCTGCTAGCAAGACTGCAGACTCTTAGTGTGGTTCTAATTCATTGTTGTTATGAATGATAGAAATAAATCATTAAAAAGCTCTATAAATCCTGTTGACTTGGAGAATGTTGGGTTATTCTGTCAGTCATGACTGTAATTTTTCACTCTGTCACTTGAGAAAATAGTTTTTAAATGGCAGCAGTCTCGTCTTGGACCAGAATGTTTTCTCAGCAGGGTCCTGTATGAATGAAAGACTTCTTTTTTAACTGCGTGTGCTCCTGTGTCTAGTGTCTGGTACTTAGTCTGTAACTGTAGGGGGGGGGTTCTCTTGGGAAATAACCCAGACCAACTGAAATATACAGTACAGGCTAAAAGCAAATGCTCACAAGTTCTTTTATCTTTTTTTTTTTTTCATCTTTGCTTTCACCGGCCACTCCAGCCTAGACTGAATCAGTATTGTGTGTGAATTGGATCTCTCACATTCCCCTCCAGGGCTTTTACAGAGCTGGAGAGGGACAGCATAACAGTAAAAGAAAATGATATAGAGGAGGGGGAGTGCATGAACAAAAACCCAGAGCTCGGGAAGAGTCTAAATGAACTCCAGTAATGTTCCCTTTGGAAATATTCCACAGCAGAAGCAAAGACTGAAGTACAATTTGGACCACATGGATGTCTCTCCTTAAAAAGCAGACCTTGACAAATATCTGCCCCTGATCTCTTGATGTGAAAAAGCTTTTACAATATCAAAGAAAACAAATGCAGGTTTCTGTCATTAGCATCATTCAGCAAGATCAAAGGTAAAAAGATCTCCTCATAAACTATGCTGCTACCAAAGCCTCTCCTTTATTGATGTTGTCCTCAGAGGTGGAGAAGTGATTAAAAATTTGTTGTTGATGTTGCGACCCTGTTTTACATGAAAACCGGCTCCTTTCCCGCTCATCAAACAGAGCTCAAGATGGAGTTATAGCTCCTGATATCAAGTTTCTCCATAGGTGGTGAGAGAGACAGTTACCACGACAACCTGTGGATGGAAGCTACTTGACTTGCAAAGCTGCTCTTGCATTTCTCCTCTTTAACAGTTAAATGTGATTAAATCTGTATTAGATGTGCCATGAGCTGCAGGAAGCGTCATTATCTTCATCGTTGTTTTGTTCATTTGATTCAGGCATCATGCAAAGGGATAAATGACTCCCTTTAGCAAAAGGGCAGACTCCCACCTGCAAAATAGCAAATAATTAATGTCAGGCCTTTTTATAGTGTAGGTGGGAGAGGGAGAAGACAGAGATGTGGCTTTTCTTTTTTCTTCTTTATTCGTAAATTCATTAAAAGCCAAGACATACACAAGCGACTGCCTGGAAATATGGTAGTAATAGTCATTGTACAAATTTTAGGTTAAATAGGTATTATTCCTATCAGCTGCTTTTTAATGATTTATTGTCTCCGTTTTTTTATGCAGATGACTGTTGTGCTGCCACCTGCTGTGCCTTCCTGCTGTCTGCTGTCAGGGTTGATCATGCCCACATTACCTGCCACATTTATGTCATTTAAGTGTTTTAATTCAGAGTTATGCACAACAGTATTCAGTATACTAATTATGAAGTACTTGTAATTTACATAAGTGCTTGTACTTGTGCTACTTCATTACATTTCAGAGGGAAATATAGTACTTTTTATTTCACTACATTTATGTGACACCTTCTGATACTTCTCAGGTTACAACTGTGCAAAACATAAGACCAGTGGATCATGAACTGTTACTGTTTAAACAGCCTAAAAGCCCACAACTTCCCAAGCAGCCGGGATCTCAGACAGGTGGCTGGGTGACAGTTCGCAAGAGTCGTAGCTCCAAACGAATGTCCACGGAGCA